GCCAGGAGTATACCCCTTCGCTGGGCCTAGCCCAGGGACCACTAGAGCTCTGAGCTCCAGGATTCGGTTTTCATGTGTTTCTGTCCCACAGTAGAGATTCCTGGTCAAGCCTTTAGTAAAGTTTTGCTCAAATATGTCTCATCTTGGCCATGTTTTGATAAAGAGCCTGTGTCTTCGTCTGGGGTAGCATGGTGAGCATGGCTCTGACCTTGGGGAAGCCAGTTACAGCAGGACAAGAGTGACCCACAGGGAATGGTGGGACAGCTCAGGAGAAGAGATGGGTTAGGGCATCCAGTAGATTGGATTTGTGGGGCTGGTGAACATCTCTGGTCATTTCCAGGAATTTAGGGGTCTCCTGGCAAGCAGGGTCTAGGGTGCTCTTTGGGTGTTCAAGGGCAGGCTGGAGACGTTGGGCATATAATGGAGAACATACCCTGTAGACCCTGTAGGAGGTGAGACTCAAAGGCAAGCAAGCCAGCTAATGGGGTCAGGGTTCCTTAGTTCCCTGCTGTCCCTCTGGTCCAATGTTGTCCCATTGCTCATCTGGGGAAGACATTCCTCTGAATTCATTTCCTGCCCCTCTTTGCCCAGGCCCTGCTGATGGCCAGCCCCCCTTCAGTCCAGCCCTCTACATTGTGCTACTTCCTACCTGTTCCATATAGGTTCCTCTGCCCCTCAATGAAGTCTAAGTCTCAGAAGACCCCCCCGTTCCAGGCAGGATGGAGAAGATGTGGCTTAACAGCAGTTCCCATAAACTCAACATATGTCAGTCACGATGATTTGTTTGCCAGAAAAATTAATGTGTCAACAGAAGCACGGAGCGGTAAATGGTCCTTTTCTCCTCAGTGCACATCAGACAGGCTTAATTTCACTTCAGATCCAAGCATCACATTTGAAGGTGTGAGTTTTGTTCAGGTGAGGTACACGAAGGTGAGAGCTTAAAACCTGTTGAGTGGAGGGAGGTGGCTTAAAGAGCTGTCTGAGACTGGGCTGGATGCTCACCACTTCTGCTTCCTCTTCCTGCATACATAGGAAAACTACCTTTCCCAGCCTCCCTTGCAGTTGGGTTGGACCATGTGACTGGAATCTGGCCAATGGAGTTTGAGTAATATATATATCAACCACTTCCAGACTTGGCCACAAATGCGCAGAGAGATCTTGTTGCTTCCCTACCCTGTGTGGTTGGAAGAAGACACCAAGATGTTGGAACCTCTTGACAAAAGGATCCTGAATCACATCCATCACTTGGATAAAGACTTGCCAGAATTGGCAGCCTCTCATTGGACTTTGCGTGAACAGGAGACAAACTTTTCTTGTTTCAAGGCACTGTGATTTGGGGGGTTATATTTATTACTATAGTATAATGCAGCTTTGTCTAATTCAAATTTAGAGAGTTTAATACTGAGAAGTGGGGTAAGAAAACTGTCTTTAGATGCTAGTACCTGAAGGACCATGTGCCCCAGAGGCACAGTTCATGTGCTCTAAGGTCAGTGGAGCTCATTCAGAGTTAAGATTTTCTCCCCAACCTTGGAATGACTTATCTTGGTTAGTAGCAAATTGGTGTCATTAGCGGTATTTGTTCAGAAACTGGACCATCATTTGAGGGGGGAGGGGATATGTCTGGGATAATTCAATGGAGAGGAAATTGGATATCATGACCTCTATGGTACATTCCAGCACTGCTATCTAATGTCTAATCTAGCAGTGTCCCGATAGTTGTTGAATTAAAGCAGATGGAATTGAAATCCTACCATTTCTCCTGATCATTGGGTACCATTGTGACCTGAGGGTGATTGGCATCAAAGGCCATTGTCTTGCTAGATGAGTTCCAGGATCACCAGCTTCAAGAAGCAGGTTTTTGAGAAAAGCACTGAACCAAGCAGACCACTTTCTGGCTCTCTTGGTTATACCCGTCAGAGGAAAGCAGCAGATGGGGATGTATTCCGTGCTGAAAATTTCTCCCACTCTTGTCTGGCCAACCCACAGACCAGTGTATATAAACAGGAAGATGAGCCTTCATCTTGCTAAGCAACACTGCTGAATGAGAAAGGAATCTAATCACTCTGTCACCTTCTGTCCAAACCAGATGAGCCTTTTCCTCCATCCATTCTCTCAGGAGAGAAACGAGTCTTAATCCCCAATGATGTCCTCACTTAATCTGTTTGGAAGAAGGATCAATTCTTGCAGAATCCTCCAGGACTCCAGGAATCTGACCCAGGAAAGGATTAAGTAACCAAAACCAAATTTATGTTTTAATATGATGCAGCTGATCTTGAGCAATAAACATGTAGCCTGTCACTGTTGAGAAAAAGCTAAAACCTAAGAGGGCTGGTCAACAAATGTGAGCCTCCCCAAACAAAGCTCAAGTGGTGAGGACACCCCCTAGAGATGACTCAACAGGTCTTTCTACTTTGGCTGTCTTTCATTAATGAAGAGGGTGGTCTCTCTGATCAAGCCTGTCCTCACTGTGGGGAAAAGCCACCTAGAGGGCAGAAGGGGTCATGTGTCCAAGGACAGAGTGATAGTCTCCAAATCACAGGGTCAGACTCTGTCCTCAAAGGGGAGGGGGCCAAATTAAGTCCCAGAGTGGATTTGCAACAATGTGCTAAAGAGTTGAAGACACTTTGTGACTCTCAAGAAGAGGGAGAGAAGACCCAACTTCACTTGAAGGTTCCATCTTTGTGGGTCACTGCTGGGTAACCAAGGGCAAATACCCTAATTTCTCTGAGTTTTCTCTAAGAAGGCCGATCCCTGGAACTTCCTGACTCTACTGGGTATTTCAAGAGCCCTCTAGGTTCCCCCTGGTATCAAAACACCCTTTTCCCCCCTAAGGACTGCAGCACACTCCAGCTGTGGCTGGTTACTTTGCTTTATTTGCAGACTCAAGTTTGCTACATAAATCCAGTGCACAGTCCAACACGCACATAATTGGCATTAAAGAGAGGACAATACAAAAATACAACTCTTGATAGTAAAAGGAACCACCCTCAGCTCACCTCAGTCCATCCCAGTGGGAATGCTCATGTTTAAGGTCAAAATAGGAGGAAATTTGCGATGAGGGGGCATGGAGGCCTCAACCAGTGCCCCTGCCCCAGTAAGATTCTGGGGTGAGACTAGGTAGACTTTTCTTGGCAGGATGGCCACTTCTGCCACCTTCATATCTGGTCACTTCTTCCTTCAGGAAGGGAAGAGAAGCTCCCCAGGTTATGGGAGGCCCTCCCTAAGGAGCTACAGTAGGGCTACCCAGTCAAAGCCAATGTCACTTCCAGCATGGGGCCTCTACCTCTGGGTAGCCCTGATTGGAGGGTAAGAGAATCAGGATAAATGGACTTCTTAGAGAAGGATGGGAGGAAAGGGGAAGAGAGATTGGAGATATTCTCCTTGGCCTTCCTTTCAGCAGATTCCAGAAATGTTCTGTGGATGCCAGCTTGAATCTCCCCATCCCTGGTCCCATTCTAGGCTTGAGTCCACCCAGTCCACCCAGCCCCTTGGGTATGGGGAGCTTAGCTTGAATCCCAGAACTCTGAGGGAAGTCAGAGCTGGCTCCAGCCCACGGCCAGGAAACCTGAAGGGCTAACATTTGTGCAAAAGTGGCCAGATGCTTGGAGCAGCGAGAAGTTCTTCTGGTCCTTGGCATGTGCACCAGGGTGGAGGCTCAACATGGCTGGGCACAAAGGTGTAGGAGAGATGAGACCCGTACTGAGCCTTCGGGGACAGAACAAGAGAGAGCAGTCAGTACCCTGGGCTACACGCGGCCCCTGGGACCTGTTGTCACCTTCCAGGGAGTGAGGTGGGCCACCTGGCAGAGGAGCCGTGCTGGGGAACAAGGGCGGCAGGAGGAGCCCGGGGCCCCCTCCTCTCCTTGTCCCAGGGGCTATTTAAACCATCATGGAGCTTAACCGCAGGCCTTTGGGCTGAGAGATGCTAGAGAATGTGTCTCTGTTTTACTTTGTTATAGCTGAGGACAGCGAGAGGATATCATGAGACTGCTGGACACTCCACAGGGTGTGTGGTGGGAGACAAAGTGGGAACTAGGGGGCAGGGGGAGGCAACACCACCAGCAGTCACACAACCCCAGCCTCAGTGTCTTGGCACACAGCTGTCATGGAGACTGGCATTTGAACCATGAACACATGCACGTGTGCGTGCACACACACACACACACACACACACACACACACACACACACAGCTTCCGCGTCCGGTGCTTCTGGGCAGATGGAAACAGAAAACTAACGAGCAGGACTCTGCTTGCTGGGAACTCTGTACTGACACAGAGCTTTCAGTACCGGCTGTTTGAAAGGACCACAGACATGGCCCCAGGGAGCTCCGGGGAGCCCTGGGATTTGTCTCCTATCAGTCCCGGGGCTTGGGAAGTCCCCTCAGCTCTCCCTCTGAACGTGAGATGAGCCTGGAGCTGGGGTCTCTCCTCTGCTGTCATTCCCCTCACTGTCCCCCACCACACACTTCCAGTGCCCAAACACCTCCCCACCTCCCTTCTCCCCATCCAACCTCCCAGCCGGTCCTCTTCCAACAAAGGGGTAAGGCCCAATTGTCCGTGATGACAACACAGCTTCACGTGTCGTGACCCCAGGAAGCACCGGGGCCTCTGGACGGGGTCATCTGTGACAACGGCACTGGAAGGGCCTCTCACACGTGCACCCAGGAACCTGCCCTCACGCCCCAGTCCCATCCTCCATGCCCTCACACTCTGCACCAATCCCCTCCCTTCAGCTTCTCTCATGGAAGAACCTCATGGAAGTGACAGTTCGCCCTCTTCTCCTCCCTAGGAGCCCAACCAGCAGCAGATGACAGCCATCAACTCCCGGGGCTCATCCCCACCGGGTTCAGCAAGCTGGAGCGGGCTCCCCGGGCCAGAGAGGTTCTCACTCCAGTAGAAAGAGGCACCTGTCCTTGGCCAAGGGCAGTGGCCAGCGGCAGCCGGCAAGCTCAGCCCTCACCAGCCCCCCCGCCGATGGTGAGACACTCACCGCCCCCGAACTAGGCCAAGCCGCCTGCAGGGGACCCACCGGCTCCGGGTGAGTTCGGGGTCTGGAAGGTTGAGTGGAGCCTGGTCAGCAGCTCGGGCTCGTCGCTTTTCCCGGAGGCGTCTGCGGCGCCCAGCGGGTAGGCCTCCCGGGCGCGGCCACCACCAGCGCAGGCGAGGAAAGCCAGGCAGGCCCCGCGGAGGCGGCCCAGGTCCCTGTGCGTGGACTCGCTGACAAAGCAGTAGAGCACGGGGTCGGCCACGCAGTTGAAGCTGGTGAGCAGCAGGGAGAAGTGGTAGGCGTTGAAGACGGCCCTGGCGAACTGGCAGCTGGCCTCCCAGAGGCTGCGCACGAGCAGCAGCGCGTGGTACGGCAGGAAGCAGGCCAGGAAGATGACCACGGTGCTGAGCACCAGCCGCTGGATCTGGTCCTTGCGGCTCTTCTGGGTGCCGTGGCTCCGGCGCACGGCCCGCAGGATGCCCCGGTAGGAGGCCAGCAGCAGGCAGAGCGGGAAGAGGAAGCCTACCAGGAAGCGGTAGTGGTTGATGCCGCGCTGCCGCGGCTCCAGCGGGTAGTGCTCGAAGCAGACGCGGTGCCTGTCCCCGTCCTCCACCACCTCCTTGTGCAGGAAAAAGTAGACGCTGGTCAGCAGCTCCTTGACCCAGATGAGCACGCTGACGGCCACGGCCGCCTTGAGCGTGCGGAACTGGTGGAAGCGGAAGGGGTGGGCCACGGCCAGGTAGCGGTCGATGGAGATGCAGCAGAGGAAGCCCACGCTGATGTAGATGTTCTCGTACAGCAGGATACCGCACACCCTGCAGGACAGGTCCCCGTGCGACCAGTTGTCATGCTGTAGCACGTACTGCAGCCAGAAGGGCAGCGAGCAGATGTAGAAGAGGTCGGCCACCGTCAGGTTGCACAGGTACACGCCCAGCTCGTTGCGGGCCTTGATCTGCAGGTAGCCGAAGTAGAGGGACAGGCAGTTGGCCGGGAAGCCCACCACCAGCACCGCCACGTAGACCACCGGGGCCAGGGTCTGGTGGATGGTGTGGTCAATGCTGCACAGCGAGGTGTTCTCCGCGGTAGCGTTCCCCATCGCTGGGCCCCAGAGCACCTCACCCGTCACGGGCACAGGGAACAGGCAGGTCTCTCCACGGCCATCTTGCTAGTCGGATACGGCTCGAGCTGTATGGAAAGCTGGGCCTCCTTGGTGGTGGGTAAACCCCTGAAAGGTAAAGGTGGGAAAGGCTTCGGATAACGGCTGCTGACATTTATGTAGCGCCTACTGTGTGTCAGGTACTGTGCTAAGGGCCTTCCTTAATGGAGAAGATGAACCAACCTCAACCCAACTCGACTATCTAGTTGACTCTCTTGGTCACATGCCAAGACACTAAATGGTGGTTTATGCCTCCCTGTCCCCCCTTCCCTGGCTTCCTGTTCCTTATTTATTTTCCTGGTCACTCAGGGCAGCAAGCAAGGGGAGGAGCTCTTATGAGCACAAATTCACCCCGAGTCCCACTCTCCAAGGGACGCCCAAGGTGAAGATCAATTCCAACCCACACACAACAGTGAGGGCTCCGGCCACTCTCCCCCATGACAGCACTAGGCATCACTCACATTTTCCTACTTGCTCCCAGGAAGGTACCAGGTCAGTCAGCACTGAGACCACAGCCTCTTCCGGGAGCCTCTCCAGAGAGCCCGGAAGTGGTCCCACCTTGCCACATCCTAGTGGGCTCTGGCAAGAAAGGAAGACCACGCTTCCCACAGGGCATGGTCTGGACTCCTGGGTGCTCATGGGGAGGTGCTACCTCACCTCCTCTCTGTGGAATTGAGGACACAGCGCAGGGAACAGCACAAGGAAGCAACAGAAACGAGCACCAGGCCAGGGTCAGCTGCTTACAGGCTGAGCGAGTGATTTCCCCTCTCTGAGCATCTTTGTCCTCATCTGTAACCCGGCTGTAGAAACACCTGCCCTCAGGTCAGTATCAGGGCCACGTAAAATGATGGATATGGATGCCAAAATCCACAGCATTGTTTTGCCAGAGGCAAAGGGGCAGAGTAAGAGATGGGAAGTCTTACATTGGTGAAAAGCCCATATTGTTGAGAATTTAACGAAGAAAACGCTATTGCTATGTGTACAGATACATTTGAACAAGAGAGAACAAAGATTTCTGTTGTAAGTCCACTTTATAAATTAATATATCGAAATGAAAGGCCTAAGCTACTCTGTTGATCGAACTCTTCTGGCTCCACAGAAAAATCTCACTGCCTCTAAATCAGGACTTCTCAATTTTTTGTTTGTTTAAGAATCATCCTCCCAGAAAGCCTCATTAGACAGTTTTTTCCCCCGACTGCCCCCTTTCCATGAAATTTTAATACCCCCAATATATTGCACATCTGTTTGTGTACTGGGGCCCTTTGAAGGGTGACAAATCATTGTAATAGCTCAGGGTTTTTTTTTCACCCCACCCAAGAACCAATTTCAGCCGTGCCTTGAGCATGTACGGCCCACATGATTGCAAATTCTGAGTGAGTGAGGTTTGAACGAAGCTGTTTTGAAGTATCAGGAGATCCACTCTGCCCGTTGCATTGTCCTGCCACCACAGTCAAGCTGAGCTCGAGGACCCAGAAGGGAGACCCCTCAGAGTCTGCTGGGCGGCCACCTCACCACCTGCTGACCACGGCCCCTCTGCCCACCGCCTTCCCCCTGCAGCTCTGTTGTGGCCCCTGCCTGGCCCTGGGGCCCCTGAAGCCAGGGCTCAGCCTGGAAGGGGGTGTAGCATGCTCGGAAGGGACTCAGAGACACCCAGCCCAGCAGTTCCAGTCCTGGGGTGCATGGAGGGAAAACTCGAGGGATTCCCCTACAACCCCCTGCTCAATCTTATAAACATGTAAGTATGGGCATTGTCCCTGGGAAAGTTCCCTGCAGCTTTCATAAAGGTCTCTCCTAAACGGGCAAGAGATGGTCTTACCAAAGCTACCCTCCAGCACCACCCCTCCCTCACCGCAGCTCTCCCGTCCATGTCCCTGCACATGACCCACATGGAAGCCACAGCCCTCTTTTTCTAAAACAACCAGGCCTCTTCTTCCTTGCTTAAAAGCCACGGAGATGGCTTCTTATCACATCTGCAGTAAAACCCAAACTCCTCATAGGACCTACAAGGCTCAGCGTTGCCCACCACCACCACACGCCATGCACTAGCCACAAAGGCCTGCTGTCCGTGGCTCAGGCCTCGGCTGCATAAGCGATGGCCTCTCGGGGGTGCTGTCTCCTGCCTTCCCCCCACCTCCACTTCTACCTCAGGCCTGGCTCCCTTTATGCAAGACCTCCGCTGACCGCCCCACATAAGCAGCCCCCCACCCCGCCACCCTCACACCTGCTGTTTGACCGCTCCTCAGAGCCCCCAGCAGCACGCAAGATTGCTCTTGCCGGTTTGCTTGTCTGCGGCTACTGGTCTCTCCCCTCCATGGGAATGCGAATCCCAAGAGGCCAGAGGCCAGGGGCACCTTGAACGCAGCCTGGCACCTCACACATACTCATGAACACTTCTGGAAGGAATAAGTGAAGACCGCCGCCTCGTTTCATAGGTGAGGACACCAAGGTTGCCAGATGGCAGACTGAGGGTTTTTCCCGCTGCATGTCCCACCTCCCTACCCCCACCCGAGACTCACTCCCAACCCCTCAGTCTCTAGAAGACGAGGACTCCCGCTCTGGCTCAGCTCTCTATCCTCTCCAGGACACAAGCCTAGAGTCTCAGTGATGGTGGTGGAGGGGAGTGCTTCTTGGTGTTTTTGATGGTGGGGAGATATGTATATATATCATATACCATTTACCTCGTGGAGCATTTTCAAGTGTACAGGTGATCACTCGCACTGTCATGCACCCAGCACCACTGTCCGTCTTCAGGACTTTCTCATTTTCCCAAACTAGAACTCTGTTCCCACAAAACGCTAACTCCCCACCCCCCTCTAGCCCCCAGTCCCTGGCACCCGCCGTTCTGCTCTCTGTTCCTGTGAATGTGACGATTCTAGGGCCCCCGTCTAAGGAAATCGTTCAGGGTTTGTCTTTTGGTGACTGGCTTATTTCACTCAGCGAATGTCCCCGAGATTCATACCCGCTGTGGCATTTGCAGAATTTCCTTCCTTTTTAAGGCTGAATAATATTCTGTTGTAGGTATTTACTAGATTTGGCTTTTCCATTCATTTGTCAGTGAACTTGAGTTGTTTCTGCCCTCCCTGTTGGCTGTGGCTGCTCTGAACATGGATGTTCAGTTATCTATTTGCGTCCCTGCTCTCAGTTCTTTTGGGTAGATACCCAGAAGTGGAATTACTAGATCATATGGTATTTCTATTTTTAATTTTTTGAGGAACTGCCATTCTGTTTTCCACAGCGGCTGCACCATTTTACATTCCCACCAATGGCGCCCAAGGGCATCTTCTTGTTTTTTGCTCTTTGTGTGTTTTGGTTTTGCTTCTACGTTTTGACGGTGAAAGGAAGGAGAAAGGGGCAGCTGAGGCCTGTGACCCCAAAACTCAGCTCGGTGTGTCAAACCATGTCTCCATTCACCTTCCTCTTGCCAGACCTCCTATCCCCGAATCCCAAGCCTACACCTGGGGCCGAACGGTCTGGCTGGCTTCCAGATGAGAAGTGGACCGCAGCACAGGGCCCCAAACAGTCCTCCGGAGCACTCACTCAGGGCGAACGAAGCCAGAGTGAAAAACACATCCTGTCAGGTCTTAGGAATTCATTGAGAGTCACTAGGCTGAAGCCTATTGTTTACTAGCGGTGAGTGTACACGTGTGTGTGGGAGGGGGAGGGGGGAAGGGGGGTTGGGAGCGGGACAGCGCTGGGGCACGGGCTTGTCCCTTCCTCCCTCCTAGGCCAACAGTAATCGAATTCTGGCGACCAGAGTCAAAAATATTCAAGCCTGCAGGGCATAGAAGAAACATTTACTATGTTTAGATTCAAGTACCTCCTACGTTCACTTGTAGCCAAAACAGGATTTGGGTGTTCGACGAGCAGCAGCTTTCGAATTTAGGTAACATACGAATGCCCTGGAAGATTTGTTGGAAACAGATTATTGAGCCTCCCCTTCAAGGTTTCTAAGTCAGTGGGTCTGAGGTGGGGCTTGAGAATTTCCAGCATGTTCCTAAGCTGATGCTGGTGTGGCTGGCCCATGGAGCACACTCTGCGTTCTAGAAGGTCTGGGTTTTGGCTCCTGGCAAGCGGCAGGATAGGCACCCAGACAACACAAGTTCCCAACCTGGGGAGCAGAGGTGGCTGGAGGGGAAACCGAAGCCCCAGCAGGACCTTGCGGGCGGAACCAGGAGATGGCCCGTGTGAGGTCAACAGCCTGATTCAGTCTCTCGAGAAGCAGTGACTAGATCTGCCAGGATACTCAGCCCTCGTATTTGCAAAATCTTTTGCAGAGCATTTCACACCTGCCCCTGCCCCCGTCTTCGCAACGGCCCTGTTATTTCCCCCCTTTGAGGGACGAGGCAACTGAGGCCTAGAGAGATGGAGTGGCCTGCCCAAGGGTCCAGCTTTTCTGTTTCTCCTGCCCTCAGGAGGCCTCCAATCTCACAGGACAGGAGCAGCACATGCACAAATTACTACCACCTGACGACAGGGTAGGGTATGGCGGTGCCATAAGCATCCCTCACGCTCACATTTAATGTTGTTTTGTTCTTTTCACTCCACACACACCCTCTGGGGGACAGCATCCCTCTGTCCTGCCAGGTGGATGGCAGACATCACCGGCATCCTCCTGCCTCACTGGCCAGGCTCAGTGAGACCCACCCCACTTCCATCATTTCTGCACGAATCTGCTCTTGGAAGGGGCATCCCTACCTGTCCAGTTGAAGGGCCTTCTGCTTTTTTCCTTATTTTCATCCAAGGCGTCCAGTTAACTACCCTGTTCTACCATTTTCAACTCCTAAATATTTCCCACATCAGTCTCTTCCTCTTCAGTTTCCTCACCAGTGCCCTAGACTGGCTTGGTCAAGACGTCATCCCCAGAATCAGCTCAGTGGCCTCCTATTGGATATCTTGGCTCCACCTTACCTCCCGTAAAGCCATCCACTAAAATACAAATCTAA